GTAGTGTGTGTGTGTGTGTGTGTGTGTGTGTGTGTGTGTGTGTCGGTGTGATCTGGCGCAGTGTGTAAATCGCGGCGATGATACAAGGCTCGCAGAAGCGAAGTAGCGGAAGATTAGAGAACAGTACGAAGTCCGCAGAAGCGGGATAACGACTCGTATGTACAATGATAGAAAGAGATATCAAACCCGCAAAAGCAGAGTAGCGGTCGATATTTACAGAGATAGAGAAAGAGATTCTAAGCTTGCAGAAGCGAAATAGCGATATTTACAGAGATAACGAGAGATACAAAGCTCGCAGAAGCAAAGTAGCGGTATTCACAGAGATAGCGAGAGATACAAAGCTCGCGGAAGCGGAGCAGTATTTACAGAGATAATCGCGCGGCAGATCGGGAGACGCAAAGCGGGCACAATGGTGCAGGAGTTCATCTAGCAATGCTAGTGGAGTACGATCGTACGAGAGATTTGAGCGATGATCGCTATGCGGGGCAAGCAAGATTTACAAAGCTAGCTATATACACTATTTACGAGCTACTGTCGGGGCCCAAGCGAGGATGATCGCGCGCGCGCTACATCGGGAGCCTCTGGCTTCGGAGAAATATCAACCTTCTCCATGGTCTGGTCGGAAAGTCAGGAGAAACCAATGCCGGTAGCACCCTGGATTTGGAGTAGTACTCTTCTCCGTGATCTCATCAGAATAAAAAGGTTGGGAAGGAAGTCTTGATCGAGATTCAGGAATACTCTGAGTTGTCTCGCTCGAGACGGGAATTGTCGATTCGTCCGACGAGCCGGGCTTATATACTGCTTCGGCTTCCCCTATCTCTACGATTCTCCTCGGTGGGAGAAGTTCCCCACGATGGATTATACGGATAAGGATGCTTTAAGAACATTGAGCTGGTGATCGGCCTCAGAACTAGTGACGGTGTACATGGATTTGTTACTGCTTATGTTACTGTCTTAAATTTTCGACTATGATTTATTTTAATTGTTCATGTTTTACTGTTAAATGTCAAAATACGTAAATGAAATCAGTACAAATATATTAAAAACTTTGTTTATCTGATAAATAGAGAACCTAATAAATATTTCCCACGAATAGATTTTAGATTCAAATCTAGAAATGATATAATCAATTTCTTAGTTTTCTACAACAGTATAAATTAATTATTCTACAATATTTATAAAAATGAAAATATAATACCTGTTTTTGTTTTTGTAAGAATGAAAGTCCGTATGCACGAAGGGCTACGCAATACACACTTTTATTTTTTATTGTTTTTATTACAATGTCTATCACTTGCACGTCCATGTCATACAATCTTTGAACTCTGTCCGCCTCATCACTCATGGTTTCTTCATTAACCTATAGGCTTATTGCATTTAGCTCATGTGGTCGCGCTAACCAATCGCATAAATCGTGTGGTTTTTCGATCAAGTATGCATAACAAAAATGGGCCAGTCGAAGCACCATTGCGCGCGAAAAAAAGAAAAGATTAAAATTGTTTACAACTCAAAGGGCCTCCTTACATTTTAATAAATGCTCTATATCTGTTTATACAATATGTATTTTTGAATTCAGAGTTTGCACTAACAATATCAAACGAAATTGTGAATACTCGAGAGAGATCCAATAGCACACAACGCTGATCGGCGAAAATTTTCTGATTGGTGATTCCTAACATCGGTTGATGTGAGTGACATAGATCAAATGATTGAGAACACGCGAGAGAGATCCGATAGCACACAATGCTGATTGGCGAATTAAATACAGATTAAATATAATAAGAATACTCGACTATAATTGATCAATTCTTATTTTCTGATTTATCATATAATCTATCACTTATTGTTGAATGGCACTTATATTTATGTCTTGAATATAATCTTATTAAGATGTAACCAATCACAGGCCGGTATTCATAGTTATTTCTTATATTTATAATGAAATAATTTTTAATAAGTTTCTACATTCGATATAATTTATCGATAATTGTCTTATCTATTGAAATAAAATAATCTATTGAAATAAAAATATAAAACACAAAATGTGTGACTAATCATGTAACGAATGTTACCTGTGGTCTATGAAAGAAAAAACAGTCTTCAATAGGATGGATAGCGAGATAAACGTGTAAGTAAATTCATAACTATTTTAATAAATTATTACTATTTAAATATAATTATCTTATAAAATAATTTTTAATATATGCTTTTTTTCCAGCATAATGAATAACACAAGCGAAAAAATGGAAGATTTATCCGTCCTGAGAGCCGAAATCAAAAAGCTAAAGAAACAATTAGAAATATAGCGGCTCTTAGGGCCGCAACCGAGGCCATCGCTGCTACCAGGGCCACCACCATTACCATCGAGGTCACCATTTCCTCCGCCGCCGAGGCCACTACTTTTGCCGCCAAGGCCTTCATCACTACCAGGGCCATCATCATCGTCGCAGCCAGATCAAAAAAGTAAGTAAAAACATTAATACTTTTAACACTACGTTAACTCTGCTTTTTAACAGTAGTAATTGGGCAGCTATGGGGCGTCAACAAATCCTCACTTTCTCTGGTGCCAGGGGCATGGTCTCCAGCTGTCAAAACTGTCTGCCACGTGGAAATGGAGCGTTCTGATTGGCTGAGGGACGTGACAGATGATAATTAGGTAATTAATGAGAGCGTTCTGATTGGATGCTTCCATAGTTGCCCGGCGCGTGATTGGATGTTCCCATAGCTGCCCAGGAGATTGTCGAAATGCCAGACGAAAAGCTAGAGAAAGTGTCTGGAACCGCTCGGAGTCCAAAAACAAAATGGCGTCTGCGAAAAAGAAAAATGTTTGAAAGGGATATACTTAACGTGACGAATGGAATGCGGTTTTCATGACACGGGGGATGAATGATGAAGGAGAAAGCTGTTTTTTTGCGTATATATAGGATATGATAAATCACATTTTTCTTAAGACGAAAGGTCTCGACGCCTAATAGCTAGCGAAACTATATATAAATTTCTCGAGTCATTTGACATTTTTTGTATGAGAAAATGTATAAACGTTTTGAAGACGTGATATTTGGGAGGAGGAAAACAGGAATGAACAGGTTCTTTCTAGATGTTTCTGACGACGAACTTGGAGTTATACGAAGCTTTTATTCTATGACAAACACGTGGTTTGAAAAATTTTTTTAGACATTTTTAACTTGATGTAAAGTAGTTAAGATTAATTTGAGAAAGTGTGATTTTATATAAATATATTTTATTAGAGTAAGGAGAGAAAATGAGAAGAAAATATATATTGCTCGCAAAAAGTCAATTTATTGAATTAATTTGCAAAGTTGAATGACATTTTGAGGGATGGAAGACACGAACGAACAGGTTATCTAGATCTGAAGCTGTAGATTTTTCTAACAAATTTGGAATTATACTACTAAGGTTATTTTCCTTAATTCTGGCAAACAGACGGACCGAAAAATGATTTCTATTGTCGATAAAAATCCAATCTTTTCGTTCGTCTTATTCTATGATGTTTTCTAAAAGAATTTGTTTTCTCGTCGTATAACGGATAATGACATAAAAAACGGTATAGCAATGACGTAGAAGTTTCAGAAAAAAAAAAGTTGTTAGACTAATAGTTGAGAGAATTAAGACAGATATATAAATGTGAGGAATATAGTCGCTAGGATTTTTTTAAATTGGTTTTTTACGAAAGGTTCATAGGAAAGAAACTAAGTTAAAATTTAGTTTTTATACACATAAACTAGAATTTTAAGACAATTTTATTTCTATCGTGATTTATTTTGAAGGAAAAGAATATTTTTTGTAGGACGTGAAGAAAATATCGTTTAGATTTAGTCATAAAAGTTTCTATTAAACATGTAATCTTCTCTGTTTCAATAAAGTACAGAAAATGTTAAATGAAATAAAAGTTATAAATTGTGATTTGAGAAAATAATACGAAGAAGTTCATTAAATTTGAGAGAAGTTAACTCTACAAATATTATATCAAAATACGTATATCGAGAAATAAATCATTTATTTGCGTATGTACATTTCGCGCGATTTCGTGATAATTTCCTTTTAAATTGAATTTTACAATCGCTGTCTATGTAATTTTTCGGGAGATTTAATTCAATTTCTTTTATAAGATATTGCGCGCACTTGTTAATACTACCCGACAAACTTTATAAATGCTGTAAGTGAGTGTCGACGCATTTCACAATATTTTCCATCCGTGAAAAGTACTTTTTTACATCACAATTGCGACAGCAATTGTTTTACGCCTCTTCATCGGTAATTGCAAATCCATAGTCTTTTCCTGATGTTATGAAATTCAATGTTTTCCATAGCAGTCTTTTGGTTTTCTTTATACATCAGTAGTAATGGACCTCGCGCTATAAGCGGTGGTAAAGCTGATCACAATAAAATTTTTGATAATAATGGGATCCAGTCTCGATTTATTGTTTCTGTTTAAATACTCGCCGATGAGTCCCATGTTGTTTTGAAATTATTGCCAGGAATCGCCGAAATAAATTCCTTCTGCATAATTACCGATTAATTTAACCAGCGGCACGAAAACTCCTTCGTTTGTCGTTTGCAATCCAACGTGTATCCTTTTCGTATGAGAGATGTTGAGTCTATATGTTGTTGAGAGCAGCATATGAAACTTACTGTTTCGTTCCTCATTACAATTTGGGATATCGCAAATGTACCTTCGCTTCTCGGAGGTATCAGAAACACTGCTCGGTTTAAGAGTATCGCGAATATTCTCGCGTTTCTCGGAATCAGGAACAGCTTTTCGGCTCGCTTGTTCTTGCTTTCTTCCCAAGTGTAAATGATAATCACAACCATCAAAGTGAGAAGTAAAAAACTACTTTGCGTTTATGAAATTAAAATCTCGAAGGATGAGATTCGAATAAACTCGAGTGATGAAATCGTCAGGCGTGTCGACTTATTTGTTATAAAAAAGAACTGCATGCACAAACGGACAAATGAAAAAAATTATAAAATTTTAAATCTTTTGAACTTTAAATTTTTCTGCTTTTAAAAGTTCTGCGTAGAATATTTTCTTCTAGAATTTTTAAAAATATCTAGAATAAGTTATTTCTTGCTTATTTTTAAAAATAAAATTAGGAAAAATAAAAATAGAAATAAAAATAAAATTAGAAAAATAAATAAAATTTAAATCTGTGAGAAAAATTTAATAAACCCAGAAATTACGAAAAATTGAGGAAGAGAGATAAAAAGCGTTTCTTAATTGAGGAGCTCGTTTCTTATATGAGAATAGAAAAAGTGTAATTCATATTAAGGAAAATTTGTCCAATGGCGCTTTTGCGCGCCATCCTCCTTTTCCGGAGTTTGTAGTAAGATTTTCAAAAAGAATAAATACCGCGTAGAGTTATAGAAAAGATTTATTTCCGAGGTTATACTTTCTCGGGGATGACGATCGATTTTCGCGATACAGTGTCGTACAGTACCTATTCAAAGTTTGAAAAAGTGAAAAATGGCTCTCCAACAGAAATTAAGAAAATTGTTTACCGTATGCGGGAATATTAACCCGAATATAGACACGGGTATATATCTTGAGAACCGAAGACGAAGAAGAAAATTTCAACATTTTCGTTAAATTCGTGTCTGAGTGTTCGAAAATCCTATTGAGCATAATGTTCAAATTAGAGTATTTCGATAACGAAAGACTTAAATAACGTCAAACGATATACAACAGGACCGATGGCATATGTGAAGGAGGATACATCACCTATTTCATCAATACTGGAGGAGGTAAATATTCCATATAGTTTAAAGGAAAATGAAATAGATTAAAATATATAATTAAAACAAAAAATTCTAAGTTAAATATTTTTAAACAGAAAATAACGTCGCGATCGTGCGGCTTAGCCAACCACGAAGAGTAAGGCGCCCCGCCGAAGACGTGGCAGGAGGAGACGGACGTAAGTAAAATAATAAAAATGAAATCTAGATTTCTAAATTTTCAATTTTTAAATTAAATTAATAAATTTTTCGGACGAGTGCGAATGCGGATAGGAAGCGTACAGCCTCCTCAGGACATTCCTTCGATTAATTTAGTGTCTAGTAGGAAAATAGCAAATATTGTTTTCAAAACTAATTCGGTTAATATCGAATTCGATTAATAAAAAACTCAATTTTTGTTTTTTAGGTGAGGAGGAAAATAGTGACGAGGAGATGGTGATGAGCGAAGCTGAAACAGAAGTTTCACACCACGTAAGTAATTATTTAAAGTAATAAAAGTTACAAAAATTGCCTAAGTTAATTCTTGAAAAATAATAATGATAACGATGTAGAAAAAGAAAATGAAGAAGATGAAGAAGAAAAAGAAGAAGAAGTGAAAAGAAGTGATGAAGAAGAAGGAGAAGAAGTTAATGATGACGAAGATGAAGAAAACGAAGATAGGAGAAAGGCATTTGAACAGTTGCGTGATAAACTTCTGGAAGAAGAAATTGAAATGATTGATTTTTCGCCATTGTGAAATTGCCAAATTATTCTCCGGAAAGTAACAAAGGTAAATTTGATATTATTTTAAATTTTAAAAATTTATTTATTTTGATAAATTTGTAATTTAATATTTTTTGTTAAAATGGCATGCCGGTAGAAAAGCGATGACGAGAAAAGCAATTTAAGGTAGGAGATATCTGTGGTATGCTGGAATCTATTCGCAAACATAAAAATCAAACGTAATTAAAATATTTATCATTAATATTTTTCGTTTTTCATTTTCAGTACCAAGGAGGAGGCATTTCGTGTGAAGAAGATTCCGCAAAAAATCAACTTCTGCAAATTACGTAGGATTATCTTTCGATTCGGCGAATTTAACGCATGGCCCGGCAGGCCTCTTGTTTCGTCCGGCACGAGACTTGATTCATGAGGACATTTGAAGACTCATAAGTTCGGTAACACAAAGCACCGGAGGTTTCGATGGATTTCATCATTTCATCAGCGTTTTTAATGTTGCGGCGCTTTCAGGGTGAGAGGGTGCGTCGAATAAATTAACGCGTGAAAACGTCGCGAAATGTTCGATTTTGCAAATAAAAAATTCCGACAATCTTCCTCGTAGTGGCACGGATTCACTGCAAACGTGGTACTCTGCGCACGGGGGGAGTTGCATGAGAGGAGTTCGTGAGATACCTGGGTTCTTCGTTACAACGCGAATTAGCAATCAAGTTAACGAAGAGCGCAGGTATCATGATCACCGAGAAGGGTTGCGGATATATCGAGCGTTTTCAACGGTTTCTCGCCGCCGAAAATATCGCAATAATAATTTATAATTTTAATAGTTTCGGCCGAGGCGAAATCAAAGTACAATGATCGTGCCTCCCTCGAACGCAAACCTTCGTATACATTAAATATAATGTATTACGAGAATTCGTGTCATAACCCAATATTAAATTTAAGAGCCGCAGCCGATTCGCATGGTGGTTATTGCGAAACGTGCAACATAGGCTTTCGAAACGATAGGGGACATCGTGTGCGAAAAAATGCCCACGTTGTCAGGCTCCTTACGTAAATCTTGGTACGGAAATAATTAGGTGCGATACGTGTAACCGTACGTTTTTCGATAATTCTTGTTTCGAATGTCATCGGGCGGAAAAATCGTATAACGGGAAATCTTATGCAAGCATATTCTGTTAAAATTTGTAGCGATTACGGACGATTTATATGCGCAAACATGGAACATAAATGCGACATAATCTTTTGTAAAACATGTCGTTCGTTACAATCTACGAATCATTTGTTCATGCGACCTTTC